TTGTTGACATCTATTTGTTTTTTGTGTTTACACTTGTTAGGGTTCTTTTTGCACATACGGGACCTAGCTAAAGCAAGGTAATTTTGGTGCCAGAATGGGACAGAAAACCTCTACCCTTAACACGCCAAAATCTCGACATCAGGGCACGTTGTGTCAGATTTGATCATATTGCTGTTTACGTAACAGCTGAAATTTTGGTCTGTAAACCATTAATAACCAGAAAATGCCATTACCAAGGGTTGCAGATATGGTCTATTGCATAACATTTCTGTTTTTTTTTAAATCGGAAAGTGGTGGGGCACAGGTGGGAGGGTGCACATGACATCTGATAGTGATAGTGATAATGTCACAATTGTGGAGATATTATCAAATGCACTAGCTAGTTATTGGTTTATTTTATATAATTCAATTAAAATTTGAGCTTACTGTTGTGGTTGTTGTTATGTACAATATTGTAGAGTTACTGATAGTAGCAGAGAATCAGCAGCCTGACCTGATGACAGCTAGGGAGGCAGCAGCATTAGAGTGGCAGTGCTTCTGGCATAAGGAAGAAAGGTCTTGGTAGGTGAAGGTAGTGGGGTGCCCATGCCATGCCACCCTCTAATTACAGGCAAAGATATGGATGAGCAAACAAAGTTGATTATCTAAGTGACTCAAAAAGGTATTGTCTACAGTCAACACACTTAGCCTGACAGATTATGTAAGGGTCCCAAAAAGGAATTGTCTACAGTACACACACTCAGCCAGATGAAACTAATTATGTAAGAGTCTCAAAAGGTATTGTCTATAGCCAACATCTACTCTGTAGCCAAACCTCTGTGTAGCCAAACCAGAGGTTTGGCAATGAATAAATTATATTACTATATAAAAATATTCCACCATCCCAAATTTTCTATGCCTATGACAGGGAGAACTCTCAGGATGCCACATTAAATTTGGCTATTAGCTCAATTGCACTTTGCTACCATATGTGTTATATTATGGTCACAGGCCTGCAAAATAGATCAAAATACTTCAGTATTCTCTATATTCAAGCATACATTGTCTGATATATGCTTATCAACAACAAAAAACACAGTCCCAACTTGTATTATTACCAGGGAATGGTGGAAGCTAGGTGTAGCAGATGATGCTGTAGCATTTTATTCAATTCAGCACCCAAAATGGATGTGACATCGGCACTGAAATAAAAACATACGGTGTCTGGCAGCCTCAAGTGTGCCTGCTGAAAATTTGGTGAGCCGTACTGCTAACGACTCATTATCTATATTAGGAAACACCACCTGAGTTGCTGGCAGGGGGAAAATATTGCGCCAAGTTAATAAGTTTTTGTTCCGGAAAGTGTGGCAGGTGTCAAACCCTGGATTCAAAAACCCTTTTTCTTTGCCCTTTAAACCTTTTATTTTGGCCCTGGTTGATAAGATAAGACAAGGAGGAGATAAGATGGACGATAAGATGGTGATTGGATCATCAGATGTCGATGCTGATGTTGATTGACAGCGTGGAGTTGGACATGAGGCAAACAGCACGTAAAGGCATGGCTAAAGTATGACGTCATTGCCTCTCATATTAGGCATGGTAAACACATGGTAGTAGTATATATAAGTAGAGTAGATTCCGTCTTGTACCCCAGTCTTCAAATTGCATCATCTTTACGATATCTTTTCATGGTGCTTCTGGCTTGCCTTCACTGGCCAACTGGCATCCTCTGAATTGGTGTTGTTTGTGACAGCAGGAAATGTATACTTATTGCAAAGTTGTGAAGCTTAATATATGTGACTGTAAGGGCAACCTCGCGGGGCTCGAAATCAGAGTCCTGAGCAGAGGGGGAATCCTTAGTGAAACTACTACAACAGGAAGGGACGCTACAGACTCACCTGAGCAGAGGGGGAATCCTTAGAGAACAAGCCAAGGAGCCCTCTGCTCAGGTGCACTACTATATACTAGTGACCGGAGTAATGATAGAGTGACTGCATAGCGACGAACGACGCATGGGAGAAGTCAGGTGTCGTTAATGGACCCTAGGTGAGTGTCGAGTAGCCCTCGAAGCTCCGGAGAGGCAGGTTTGGGACCATGATGCCAAGGGAAGAGCCCAGGCATCCTTAGAAGGCCCAGGAAGGGCTTCGGGGGGTCCAGACTGCCTCTGGGCGTCTCCGCTTGTGACCATGACCGTGACAACCGGAATCGGAATCGGAATCGATTCCGGGTGTGTGACCGTGACGTGACGGCCGGAAACGGAGAGGGGGGGCATAGAGCGGAGAGGGAAGGAGTCGGTCTAGCCCAAGGGCTGGGGAGTGTCGGGAAGGACCAATGGGAATGGCGGCCAGCCATGACCACTGGAGGGTAGCGACAGGAGGGTCACTCGGAGACGTCCCCGGATGTCTCCAGAGAGGTGGAGGTGTGAGGGCATGCAGCCTGGGGCGCTGCAGTAGGTACGAGCCTTAACGGCAGTAGGCCTCGCCCAAAGGAAGACCCGATGACGGGGGCCGTGGTGGCGGAGTGGGGGGCGGAGCCATGGCGGGGCTCAGCCATCCGAACGTAAGCCCAAACACTGACATAGGTTGGGGACACCCAAGAGGTCCAACGGGTAGAGGTTGCAGGGAGACCTCGATGAGCGACAGCCCAGAGAGGCTATAAGGCCATAGGCTCGAGGTCTCAGAGGAAAGTGGTGCGTCCAGATCCGGAGAGGTCTCCGATGGCATTAGTGATCCCTGATGGTGACTCCGGAGAGACTCCCAGAAAGGGGTGGCCATGGGAGCCGGAGGTTGGGGACCACTGGATGCGGGATGTGGTGGGATAAGTGGAGGAGGAGCGTCAGGGTGCAGGAATACAGAGACTCGGGTGGAGACACGGAGACGCAAGTGGAGACACGGAGACGTGAGCGGAGACGCGGCGCTTGATGGGATCAAGTGACGGCATCAGGGTTTCCCCTGACATTGAGCATCAATATTGGCCACATTTACTACTACAACTGCAACTTCAGCTTGGTGTTTCTTTTCGGTGGCCTTTGCTTGGTGCCGATCTGCTGCCTTCTTATGATTCGTTATGCAAAGCTGTTGTGCTTCAGCGGCTATTCATATACTAGCAATCATTATAGAGAGGCTTCAGGAGTGTGAACTTAGTGGAAGGACACGTTGCAGCTGCAAAATATCATGCGTTGTCTCCTCACATTCATGCTACTCTCTTCTCGACATAACAGGCCTGCAATGCCCCAAATGACAGTTGTGTTGCACTAAGCACTGAGCACATAGAGCCTTAGGCTCAAGCAAGATATGGTATAGAAACAATAAGTGTCCTGCTAAGAGCCTAACACTTTTTAGCTAGTCCCACCTTGCAAGCTAACACATTGCTTAGAATCCACTATTAGTAAAACCAGCTCCGGATGTGGTACCATCCAAGAGCAAAAGTGCATACCAAACTCCATCTAGAGCTACAGGAAGGAAGGCTATGAATAGTGAGTGAGGTTATAATATCTGTATTTACTGTCTAACTTTTATGAGAAGTAAACTAAGCTGACCATGCTGAGACCTATATTCCTGGGTATGAACTATTTTAGCACTCTCCCATAATTAGTAGGTATCTAACTGTCCATGCTAGGTCTAAGGAGTGGTACCTGTAGATAATGCTAAGCATGTTCAACTTAATTCCAAGCTGAAGATTTTAGAAAATTAGATTAACTTTCAACAAGTTAGAGATGAAACCACTTATAAATATATATTGTAAGTATACTTCCAAAGTAGTCAACATCTTAGCTATGAAAATGGCTACATCACTAGTTTGTCTCAAGTCTCCTCTCTAAAGGCTCTTTCTAACCGTCCCAGTCTACCGTCCCCTAGTCCAACATCCCTAGATTTAATATCTCCTTAAGTTTGTTGGCTGGTAGCAGTGACTCTAGATTAGTAAAGGGAAGAGTTCAATATATAGGCATGGGTTAGAAGTTAAAGGTGGCTCAGTAGATAGTCCTGCACAAGGCTCTCTTAAAGGTAGGGAGAATGTTGGATCCAGAGGTAGCTTAATCTAGGCATGCTAGATCCTTATATAGTTCAAATTGTCCACTTTGTAATTTTAAACCAACATTTACCTAGCTTAGGGTTTTGGTAGGTCCTGCTAACATAGCAAAATATGCTTGTTACAGATCCTTACACTCCTAGCAGGCAGGCCCTTAGAGTTTCTTCTCTTTAAATCCTCCCTCTGGGGTTGCCCCTATACAAACCACCCTGACACACTGTTTATTCAAGGCGATCTTACCATCACTTCCAAAAAAAAAAAAAAACTAGGTGATTTTGAGAGCCATAACAATAGAAGAGCATATATTACAGCAGTATAAAAAAAAATTCAAGAGCATCCCCATCTTGCAAACACCTATGCTCATCTTAGGAAATTGGATCAGGCATTGATGTTAGAAGAATAGGTAGCAAATCTATAAGTTGAAAAGTTTGGATGGCCTGATTCTATATGTAGACCTGGAGACTTTCATAAGCTGATTGAGCATTTGTGCCATTTTGTAGTCAGTGGCAATGTTCTTTGAAATACTATATATGCCTTTGAAAAAAAAACTTAATTGAAGTAGCAATAAATGGGAATATACCAGGGTGTAAAGAATCATCCTCTGCATTTTGGTAAATACTAGTACCATTTTCCACTGTAAAGAATATTACCAAAAATGGTAGTGGCCAATTGTTATGTGGAAATGTTAACATCGAATAAAATAGGCTAGCAATGTCATCGTGATTTCATATATCATGATCCACGCATCACCGTCACACGTCATTGATCCCTTGCCGCAAACGCCCATGTCGACACAGCCAGCGCGCTGACTGAGCGGCGTAACAGTATGCTCGTAACCAGGTGTTCACGGGTAAACGGCGCCTTACCCATCCTCTTCTGGGCGGGCCACCCAACGGTGCGCCCATTCACTCTTCCTAGACGGCTAATCGGCCGCGGGTATATAAGGACGACGCTCGTTGGCAAGTGGGAATCCACAAACAGACACCTTTGGAATGGCAGCAAAATCACTGTTAACGCCTGTGGCGCTCGGAAGCACCACGCTCCGGAACCGTATCGGAATGAGCGCGCTGACGCGGAGCAGGGCCAGCGGGACCGTACCAAACGACGTTATGCGGGAGTACTACGTGCAGCGTGCGCGGGGCGGGGCGGGCCTGATCATCTCCGAGGGCGTGCTCATCACTCAGCAAGGGTGCGTTGCCGCCTCCTTGATTGCTCATTCGTTAATGCAGGGTCCAGCACTGAGTGGCCCGAGGCGCCCGGCATCTGGTCGCAGGCGCAGATCGATGGGTGGAAGAACATCGTTGACGCGGTACATGCGGAGGGGAGCAAGATATATGCGCAGGTCTGTGGTATCATTGGAAAAACGGAAGAGCGAGCTGATACTAGGCAGCTCTGGCATCTTGGCCGACTAAACCATCCAGCCGCGCCAGAGCAAATCGCTGCAGGTGTTCCTGTCTATGGGCCGTCTGCGATTATGGCGCGCGGCGGGCGGTTCCGACATATCCCAGGCGTCAAGGACTATGTCGTGGTAAGTCGTGGTCAAACCAACTCCATTCGGGGTTGATTGCCGCCTAGCCCACAGAGCTACCGGACCCTAAGACAATCATTGCGTTGTACAAGCAGGCGGCTCTGAATGCCAAAGCCGCGGGTTTCGATGGTGTCGAGAGTGCGTCTTTCATCGTTTTTCAGCAGTCTACTGACAAGCTGGTAGTGCACGGCGCAAATGGCTACCTCATCCACCAGTTCCTCGACTCCAGCGCCAACCAGCGCACCGACTCATACGGTGGATCCCCCAAGAACCGCACCCGCTTCGCCTTGGAGGCTGTCGCTGCTGCACAAGAAGTGTTTGGCGCTGACGTGTCCATCAAGCTGAGTCCTACGGGCGGAAACAACGACTTGGGCATGCCGCTGCCGGAGACGGTCGCGACGTTTGGCCACCTCCTGCAGCAGCTCGAGGCGCTCCCGACGAAGCTCGCCTATGTCGCGTTCATGCGGTACAACCCGCTCCACGACCCGATATACCCCGATGCGGACGGAAAAACTCGTGCGACGCAGTTCGATGTCATCACGACGTTCAAGCCCTACCTCAAGCAGACGCCGCTGTGGGCCAACTCGGCGCTCTCACTCGAGGAGGCGCTGGCCTACGTTGCTGATGGCACCGCGGCGGGTGTATTCTTCGGACTGAACTGGATCGCGCACCCGGACTTGGTCAAGCGCATCGAGCACGGGAAGCCGCTTGATAACCAGATCGACTTTGCACATTTGTATGGCGCGGAGGGCGTTGATCCCGCGCTGGGGTACACCGATTATAAAACAGCAGCGTATTAGATGTCTTAAATTTAGAGTTCACTTTTGAAACAAATCATTGTTTTAGATTTCCTTCTCTTGGATGGTGCAGCGACCGATGTGGGACAAATCAGTGAGACGGAGCGGGGCCAGTACAACTCGCCCTAGTCCCACTGTGATGGTTAAATATACACTCCCGGGCAGGCGCGGTATATCGACAATCGGCGCACCGATATGTTGATTCTCTCTCTCTCTCTCTCTCTCTATATATATATATATATAATATTTCTCTAGGTTGTGCAAACCTGTTTGAGCATTGATATTGAGTCTAAATTGAGAATATATGTATATAAAAAAAAGAAGATTCCGAGAAACATGCTTCGCGCAAGCGGGCTGGGGAGTGCGGTCGGCGGGCTGGGTGTTTGTCTGATGGACGTTTTGTTTTGATCTACCTCAAATGAACAGTGTTTTTGAAAAGCCTTCAATCTGCGTTGCTAAGTAGCACAACTCTAAAACGTTGGGATCATGCTGCCATGCGACAGTTCATACTAGTAGTAAGGTAGCAGTATGTTAACGTTCAGAGAATCAACACAAAAAAAATCGTAGGATAAAACACTCAATCCACCCACGTAGTTCTCTCCCAGTTCACCTCCGCGCGCGGCTTGTAGCGCTCTCCCCTAACCCCCTCCGCCTCCATGCGCGTCTTGACGCTGCGGTGCACCTTGACGCCCCACGCCTTCTGCTTTGGGATGAAGCGCGGGCGGCCCCAGTTGAACCCAAAGAACGTGACCCAGTTGTTGTCCCCGCGCTGGTAGCGCTGGCGCAGCGGGAGGAGCTCGAGGATCCACCAGAACCAGGCCAAGGACAGCTGGTCGTAGACGGGCGTGAGCGCGTCGACGAGGTCGTGCTCTTCCTCTGACTTAGAGAGGGAGGCGTCCTGGAGGATGGCCTCGTGGGCGGGGAGTGCGGCGGTGCGTACATCGAGGACACGTGCGTCCGCGGGGAGGGATAAAGGCGGCGGGCGCGGCTTGACGAACGGGTAGAGCGAGTCGGGGTCAAGCCCGATGCTGCGCAGTCCCTCCGTGTCGAACATGATACCGCTGTCCGTCTTGAAGCACTCCCGGATCATCCACCGCAGCGGGATCCGCGCGAGGTTGTGGGTCGTCTCGTTCGAGACAGAACCGCCGCCGATGTCTGGTGTGAATGTTTGAGCAAACAATCACTGTGACACGAAAGTGACCTACCGCAGTGGCACCCGGCGAACCAGACCTCCTCGATGTCGGTCGGCAGCGAGCGGTCGCGCGCATACTTGTGCTCGAGCATCTTATGCGACATCTTCTTCGTCGGCTTGCGGCTCGGATGGCTGCTACCGTTACTGCCGCTACCGTTGGCTGCGCCCGCAGCCGGCGCAAGATCGCTGGGGCTGATCCCGAGGTTCTGCTCGTCCGCTTTAGGACGGTTCCAAAGGTTGACCTTGAACTTGACGCGCCGCTCGTCGAGCGCCATCGCGTGCCGGAAAGTGCGCACAATCGTGTTGGACGTTGTGAACGGCAGTCGACGGGGAATCAGGCCCACAGAATTGACGGTGTCCCAAACGCCGAGGAACTCAATGTCGACATCGTTCGAGAAGGCCTATCTCCAGCTTAGTCAAGGATGTAAGACTGCCGCGCTAGCGGCGCACCTTCTTGAATGCATTCGACTGCTTCCACCCGACCTCGTCCGTGCGCGTGAACATCTTGTACGCGAAGGGGATCTGCTGGTGGTTCGAAGCAGGCAGTAGACCGACTTTGTGCAGCATTCCCGCAAGACTAGTCAGTTCGTTAGCCTCTAAGCAATGGATCTAAGGCAGGCGCCGACTCGCCTCCGGGCAATGTATGCTCCGCGGGAAAACCCAAAGATGCAAATGCGATCGCCCGCGGTGTCTGCAAAGCGTAAGCCAACTTGAACGGGCGGTAGAGCGCAAATGAAGCGCACAGTTCTGCATGAGGAACTCGTATCCCCCCATTACATGCGCATCGAGGTTCCACGCAATCGCCTCGTCGACGAACTTGTTTACACGGCTCCACATGGGGTCGGCGATCTCGGGCGTGGTATACGTGCCGATGCCCGCCTGGTAGTAGACCATCTGCTGCGAGCGGTCCGCCTTGGGCAGCATGGAGAAGAGCTGCACGATATTCGAGTTGTCGGAGTCGAACTGGTCGCCTGTGCCGTCGAAGCAGAGCACGAGCGTCCGGAAGGGGTGCGAGGGCGGGATGACCCTGGGGGTGGGCCCAGAGGCGGGGAACTCGGAGGACAGCGGGGTGCCGGTCGAGGGAAGACCCGCAGTTGGCGGTGGTGAGACAACTTGGGTGGGGAGAGTAGGGTCGATGGCGGACGGCTTGGTCGCCGGGAGGCTGGTCCCGATGACGGACCCGGCGGGCGTCCCCACAATCGTTGCCTCCGTCGCGCTGCGCTCGTGTGTTGGTTGGTCCATGGATAGCAGGGGCGTGGGGGAAGGTAGGAGGAAAGGCACCGCCCGGATTGGCGGAGGCCATATGTATAGCGGCTGCCCAGCATTAGCGCCGCCCAGCGCGCGTGACCTCCAAGCCTGCTGCCAATCGCTCGTCAATCGCGGACGAATAGGGAATAGGCGATGCGTATCACATTAAGCCTGGAAGCCTGCCCAATCTCTTCTCTTCTCTTCTCCACCCGGTCGCCGCGTCCTCCAATCGCCGCTCTCCCCGCTCGTTTCGTGTCCAGTCGTTTGCGAGGTGGCTTCTTCTGCGCCCTTGTCCCGCATTCGGACAAGGACACGGACCGCCGGCGGTATTGACAAGCGCGTTGTTCGCGCGTCGCCTACATACTTGTGATTTGCGACGTCGCTGATTCGCTGGACTGGACTGACGGGATGATGGAAGTTCGGGACAGGCGCGTCACCGTCCGTGACATCGACGATGATGCGGTTTATCCGCGAATCAGTGATCACCGATGGGTGACGTGGTGTGACGCGTGCCAGCGAAGCTTGGCTCTGCACCATCACCCGCTGCAAAACTGGCGCCGGCGGGTCCGGCGCTGGGTGCCCGCTCTCTTGGGCTCCGACGCGACACACACCATTGGAAGGGATGACGCGTGCGTATGGACGTGACAGTGGCCGGCCGGGAAGATTCGCCCTGTCAGGCACGAGACTGGCAGCGGCGTCGACTGTTCGCCTCTTTTCCGGCGCCGGTAAGTCGCTGGTCACTTTCCCAGACCCTCCGTCCTTCCCAAACATAGAATCGCGCCTCGCCACGCCTGTCGCCTGTCACCCTCCCTTCCGCCCTTCATACTGGTCATGTGCACCTTACATCCGCCCCGTCACCGCATCATCGCGCGTGCCATTCGCCATTCCTGGCTGACGGGGTGCTTGCCTTGGAAGGCACGTCGTGACATGGTCTAGCCCGCGTCGGCTCGCGCTCCCGCGAATCCGAAGACATTGTATAAAAACGCCATTCTCCGTCGTTTTCCCGGACCCTCTACCTCCACCGTCTCCCAGCCAGCAGACGACCATGACAACGCCGCCCCCCCCCACCCACCATCACACCTCTCCAAGCCTTCTCGCTCGGCGCTGACTCGGTTTACCTCTCTCGCCGGGGCTTACCCAAGGCGCCAGACGGTCACTACGACTGGGAGAACCAGTACGCCCCGGGGAACTCGCCCTCCGCACATGCAGGTGTGACCAACATCGTCAACGCTGCCGCCACTCTCGAGAAGAAGGGCAACATCGTTCCCCCTCCGGCTGTCGTCGCTGCCTTCGTCGAGCAGGCGCTCCACCCTAATGATATCGACGACCGTAAAGGCGCTGTACGCCCCTCCACTATTCCCTCTCCCGTTTATGATACTGACCCGCCGCAGTTCCAAGGCGGCCTTGACATCCTCTCGCGGCTCCCGCCCAACACCGAGCTCACAAAAGACCTCTCGGACAAAGCCATCGGGCTGCTCTACAACAACATCCCTCATGTGCGTTGCCCATCCGTTTGTTCCACCTACATTCATCCCTTTCCAGCCCCGTGCCGCGCTACTTGGCCAGGCGCACTCCTTCCGCCAGGCCGACGGTGGTGGGAACAACCTGCAGATCCCGGACCTGGGCCGGGCCGGGACGCCATATGCCCGAAGTGTACAGGGAAAGTGGTGCTACGCGCCGACGTCGCTGCCCGACCCCGGTGTCGTGTTCGACGCGCTCTTCAAGTCCCGCGGGCGCAAAGACCACCCGAACGGCAACTCGAGCTTCACTTTCGCGTTTGCGACGCTCGTCACGCATTCCCTTTTCCGCTCGGACCCGAAGGACTGGAATATCAACGCGACGTCGTCCTATCTTGACTTGAGCCCGCTCTACGGCATCAGTGCGTCTTCCTCTTCCCCATCAGATGCCTTGGCTAATGTCTTAAAGACCAAGAAACACAGGATCTAGTCAGAGACAAGGACGCTGGCCGCGGCCTGCTGTACCCCGACGTCTTCTCAGAAGAGCGCCTCATCTTCCTTCCACCCGCGCCGAGCGCCTTGCTCGTCATCCTTAACAGGAACCACAACGTGCGTTTCTCTCAACGCAAGAGAAGTCGATGGCTGATTGACGTTAGTACATCGCCGAGATGCTCCTGAAGATCAACGAGCGCGGCCGCTGGAGCGATCCCCCGCCAGAAGACGCCGCGAAGCGTGCGAAACAGGACGAGGAGATTTTCCAGACGGCCCGCCTTGTCAAGTGCGCTGTTTCTGACTATGTTGTCACTCTCTATGCTAACTCCTGGCTTGTATGTAGCTGCGGGCACTTCATGGGCTTGATTATGTCGGACTACGTTGCGGGTTTCCTTGGGCTGTCCGAGGGCAATGCATGGAGCATGAATGCGTTCGACCCGATCAAGGAGGGAGGCGTTGAAGTCGGCCGTGGGGAGGGCAACCACTGCAGCGTCGAGTTCAACGTGCTCTACCGCGTGCGTCCCTCTATCTCGGCAATGGGTGTGATATTGATGATGGTTTGTAGTGGCACCCCACGCTTTCTGCGGCAGACCAGAAGTGGACCGAAGACGCATTCAACCGCACGTTCAACAACAAGCCGTTCGACCAGATCACGATGACCGACTTCTTCACCCAGTTCGGCCGCGCGTTCGCCTCCGTGAGCCCTGATCCGCGCAAGCGTACCTTCGGCGGGTAAGAACGCCCCCAAACCCGTTCACATCATCCTGATTCGCACCCACAGCCTCACTCGTGGCCCGGATGGCCGCTTTGCCGACGACGACATCGCCAAGATCCTGCAAGACGCAACGGAACACCCGGCCGGCTCGTACGGCGCGCGTGGCACGCCTGAGGTGCTGCGTGTGATCGAAATCATGGGGCTTGAACAGGCGCGCCAGTGGGGCGTCTGCACCATGAACGAGTTCCGGCAGTTCCTCGGGCTCAAAGCCTTCGAAGACTTCGAGGAGTGGAGCTCTGACCCCGGCGTCGTGGCCGCGGCACGACAGTTGTACGGGCATATAGATAACCTGGAGCTTTATACCGGGTTGCAGTGCGAGGACCTCATGCCGCTTTCCCCGGGCCTGCGCTTCCATGCCGGATACACCATGACGCGGGCCGTGCTTGCGGATGCCATTTCGCTCATCCGTGGTGATCGGTTCTACACTACCGACTTCACGCGTGCGTTTGCTGTCCGTTGTATGCGCTTATCTGACCGCGTTGTGCAGCCGCCAACCTCACGAACTGGGGATACCAGGATTGTCTCCGGGATCCGCATAACGGTGGCTTCGGCGGCGAAAGTAACTTGCTAGTAACTGATCTAAGGCGTGGCTCTAACGTTAATCTTAGTGCCGAAACTCCTGATGCGCCATCTCCCGCGGCACTATCCCTATGTAAGCAGCCTGACCAGCCTCTCGCTATCAACTCACGTGTGCAGAACTCTGTCTACGGCTGCTTCCCCTTCTTCACCCCGCAGAAGATGCAGGACAGCCTCACGAAGCAGGGTATCGCCTCGCAGTACACGTACACCCGCCCCGTCGCAACTCCTGTGCCCGTCGTGCTCAACGACTTCACGGCGATCAAATATGTCTTCGACGACCCGCGCCGCTTCCCGAATGTTTACGACATGAGCGGCCTTGGTAACGGTTATGGGTTCATGCTGACGTTCGACACGCCCTCTAAGCACGACCCCGACCACGCGCTTGCCGCACATGCTGTCTTCCCTGACGCCAATTCACTCAAAGAGCACAGCCTGTGGTACCGCGACACGGTCGTCCAGCTGATCAACGACCGCTCGATGCGCATCGACGGGGTCAAGGGCAACTTCGTGGACATCGTCAAGAACGTGATTAATGTTGCGGGGGTGCACTGGGCGACGGATAAGCTGTGTGGCCTGCCCTTGAAGACCCCGCAAAACCCCAGCGGGCTGTATACTGAGCAGGAGATCTACGATATGTTCAGCACCCTGGTCAGTTCCTCTTTTACTCGCTAGGTTGACAGGTTTAAATCCCTTCTAGTTTGCGCTGTCATTCCTCGATATCGGAGACAACGAGCACGGCTTCTCGCTGCGCTACACCGCCTTCCAGTCGGGCGGTGTCCTCCAAGCACTCATTGCGAAGACTATCCTTGAAGTCGCACCGCAAAGCGCGCCGAGCCGCATCGTCGGCTTCCTCGGCAACGTTTCCAAGTTCCTCTGGTCGCCTGCTGACAAGCCCTACTACCCCTTCCTCAGCCGCCTCGCGGAAAGCGGCCGGCCGCTCAACGAACTCGTGGCCATGGTCGTCGGCCTCGCGATTGGCTCGTCCGTCAACTTCGCGCAGGCGGCGGTGCACGTGCTCGACTTCTACCTGGACGAGGAGCGCGCGGCAGAGAAGGCGCAGATCGTCGCTCTGATTAACAAGACGGACGCCAAATCGACCGAGCTGCTGTACGGCTATGTGCGCGAGGCGATGCGGCTGAACCCCCAGTTCACGGGCCTCTGGCGCGATGTGGTTGTTGCGACGGACATCCCGCAGGGTGCGGGTAAGCCGCCGATCAAGGTGAAGGCCGGCGACCGCCTGTGGGCGAGCTTCCGCAATGCCCATATCGACGTGAGTCCATAAATCCCTCATACTTCCCTGCTAAGCTCCACACCAGCCCACGGACTTCCCGAACCCCACCGCCGTGGACCCCACGCGGCCAAAATCGTCGTACCACCTTGTCGGCGCGGGCTTCCACTCCTGCCTCGGGCAGCAGCTCGCGGAGACGACGATTGCGGAGATCCTCAAGGTCGTGTTCCGCTTGCCCGGTGTCCGCCGCGCGCCAGGCGACATGGGCCGCCTCGCGGGCTTCCGCAGCGTCATCGATGAGACCGAAACGAACGTGTATCTGACGCCGTATGGCGGGACGAGCCCGTGGCCTGGGGAGATGTACATCCAGGTGCGTTGTTTTCTGTGTTCTCGCGTGGTGAGGTAACTGATGGGATTGTTTGTAGTGGGACGACCAGCTCGCGAATGGCCACTAGGTGTTGCCGTGAACGCATATTTCTTTCTGCATCCCGTTGTTATCATGATCATGTTATTCTTAGCTCTGAATCTAATTCGTCTGTGGCAGCTCTGCTTCTGAGACGTAGTTTAAGATGAGATTGAAAGAAGTGGTTTACACTGAATGGCTCCAAGGTCTAGATCTTGTCGCAAAGTTATTTTCCCCTATAGGGCCTTGTGCCTTCCAATTATGGATACAATTATGAAATCTCCATACTCATATCCATATCATAATCATAGGCTTTGCCATAATCATATCATACTCATAATCATTGATTATAGGGCCCGGGCCGGCCCTGTTCCTGACATAAACCTTTTATTTTGGCCCTGTTTGATAAGATAAGACACGGAGGAGATAAGATGGACGATAAGATGGTGATTGGATCATCAGATGTCGATGCTGATGTTGATTGACAGCGTGGAGTTGGACATGAGGCAAACAGCACGTAAAGGCATGGCTAAAGTATGACGTCATTGCCTCTCGTATTAAGCATGGTAAACACATGGTAGTAGTGTATATAAGTAGAGTAGATTTAGATCTACTCTACCCCAGTCTTCGAATTGCATCACCTTTACGATATCTTTTCACAGTGCTTCTTGCTTGCCTTCAAGTTCACTGGCCAACTGGCATCCTCTGAATTGGTGTTGTTTGTGACATGGCAGGCTATATCAATTCTTGAATATGTTCACCTCCCAATGAGGCTCTCATGAATTAGGGCCTGTGAGAGGGTGACTCGTGAGCTATCCAAGCTCTATATATATAAGT